CTGCCTTAGAGTCACAGCATTATCCTCAGAACAAGGGTCTGATATCCTATTAGGGTTTGGCATCTAAATATCCTCTGTTGTTCTGCCTAGAGTGATCATATCATTATCAGCAAGTCCAGCCTCAATCAGCTGTGATTAATGGAAACCGTCACAAGCACACACTTGGTACTTTACCTAGTGAAAGGTGCTACCATTTCAAATAAATATGCGTAGTACAGATTGCCTAGAATTCTTCTCAGAATTCAGTTACACCTAACGGTGCCTGTGAGTCATTCAACATAAGGCAATACGGATGTAGTGCTTTCTGATCAACATTTGCAAACTAGTTTCAAATCTTCTGGCTGCAAGTGATGTCACTTAATATGTTTTTCCATTGCTTGCTGTTAATGTATACACACACGCACACACACACACACACACACACATATATATACACACACAAGTGTCTTATGGGTAATGAACACACACACACACACACATATATATATATACACACACAAGTGTCTTATGGGTAATGAACACACACACACATATATATATATATATTTGCATTATGGTGAAATCTGACAGACAATCACTGGTTTACAGCTCACCACACCCACATCTTAAAAGTGACCCCCACTGTGTCCCAGGAATGTGACTAATGCCACTGACGTCAAGAGTCCCCAGAGGAGATGACATTATGGACACTTGGTGCCACATAAAGATCCAGATATTGGATACAATGAAAGACAACATTAGTCATTATAGTTCAAAACATCAAACTTGATCCATGATCTCTTACTTAATGCCCAGTTGATATCTAATGATGAACCTATGAAGCACCGTGACACACCTGCACCTGATTTAATTGTAGTTTCCTATGATATTTCATTCTAATTTTTACGCATGTTACAGCAATCTGAAACTAAAAAAAATCTACAGTCATTCAAGGTTCAGTTTTTATTGTTATATATACCAAGGACAATGTAAATTGTACAATATTATTCTTGCTTGACTGCCTTCTTCAGTGTGTAGACAGAGAAAACAAGCAGTGCAACATTACAATAATTAACATTAAATAAATGAATAAGTAACATTAAATAATGTGTATTATTTGAAGTGACCATGAGTGACCACAGGAGTGCAAGTTTGAAGTGTTTTAAACAGTCTTTAGCATGTGTATTTTGTGTTAGTAATAATGTTAAATACACTTGTTAAACACACTTAGCATATACTGTATTGCACATTATATTGCAATCATTATAATGTATATTGGCAGAGAGTGTTATATTCATCAGGTTGCTGTACAACTATTTCATGTTTTGAATCAAAATCATGTAAAAAATAAACTGTAATGTAACTGTTTTTTGCCCCTGCGTTAGATGAGATGAGCACATTGTACGAAAGAAGACTGGCAACTTGCAACTTTTGAAACCTAGTTCCTATAAATCCAGTCATGTTTTGAAACCTGCTCTTTCTAAACCAAGCAGCATATAGTAAATAGCAAAACTGTGTAGGAGGGTATACTGTCCATGAATGGTGTCTACAGTCATATTCAGGCGTACAGTCACTCTGAACACCGTTGCAGGATATTGCTGTGCCCTGTTATCACAAACCGGCATTTTTTTCTACTGCCTTTCGGCTTGCGGTGTTGAGATGATTTGGCCGCATTGAATTCTTCCCAGTGGATGGTGATAACAAATAACATGTCAGAATAATGAAGTGACCTGTCTGTTTAATAATAACAATTTGCATTTTATTGTGAGAGGAGGTGACTGTCTTCCGAGAGCTGAATGTAAATTTACCAATTTGCCCTGATCTGGGGCAAAGCACGTGTCCATTGTGCAGTGACGATACAGCGGCAGTTATGCTGAGCATGCAGAATGCATTAGCATGTTTTTGCAGTTTTTCCCACGCTACCTTGCAAATGAGGAAATGTAGATGTTATGTCAACCACCCACAAATACAGACAAATGTCAACATCAAAGATGGCTGACATTTTGCTTTTGTATTGGTCTGAGAATTCATATGTTGATGTTATCACTTATTATATAGCAATACCTGGTTTCAGCAAGCATGCAACCTTGTATCTAACAAGTTATTTTAAGAGCAAACTGTTGCCCCCCCCCCTCACCCAAATAGTTTGATTAGCTCCCTTAACTGGTGAACCCAGATCTAAGGGTTAGGGTTAGTAAGCTTTGACCCATGAGGTTGAGCACGGTGGAATCATTACAGCAAATTCATATTTCATTTCAAAGTGTATTTGTAACCTAAAAGGTTCAGATGTTTCAAACTTATCTAATTTATATTTTAGTACATTCTATACACTTTACAATGAGATGGAAGAAGTTCACGATAGACTCAATTTCCATGAAAATGAAACCATGAAAAATGGTTTGGAAGTTCCGGTATTAAAAACTCCTCGTTCACTATACGTCTCCTGACTACACATTGATGGCTGTATAACAATCGAGGAAGACGCTTTATTGGAGATCATTGAGCCATGACATTGAGTCGTGATGTGCACACCCTGGAGTCAAGGGAAAAAATGAGATTAGTTCTCATAGCTCAGGTCACGGGTCTTTACCACGGCTGATCGTCCTGCCAGGAGCTTGTGGAGTTTCTAATTATGGAGGATATGGGTTCGATCCTTATTCAAGGAAAAGCTGGGCTCCGCGGACTGACACCTAGAGGTTGGCTGAGGGCATTACAGGTATTAACATTATTTACCCCGTTGAGTCCACAATGATGACAACTCTGCCCCAGAGTTAGGACAGAAGTTCAGTTATGTCCATAGGAGATTGTATCTTTATTTAACTTTATTTAAGGCTCACACTGTGCAGGTTGTGTTTATGTTTTGTTGATGCAAGCCACACCTGTTACACAGTTAGCATAGTGCACATTGCCTAGTTGTTTGCAATGGTTAAAAATATCAGCTTCCGCAGGATTACGCTAGTGCTGTATTACCAGTTTGATCTTGTCACTATTTTCTTTTTTTGCCCTTTACTCTCCTTCATCTTTTTATGTTCTGCTGATGCCTTAGAGCAGGGGTGTCAAACTCCTTTCCTGGGGGCCGGAGTCCTGCACATGTTTGGGTTTCCTCTCATTTAACACACCTGATTCAACTCCTTGTGCTAATTACCACACAGCTCTTGAGCTGAATCAGTTGTGGTGGAACAGGGAAAGAACTAAGCTACACTGGGCTCCGGCCCCCCAGGACTGCAGTTTGACATCCCTGCCTTAGAGGGAAAAAGTCAGTTATACAGAATTACTTTGCATTTATTTATTTAGCAGAAGCTTTTGCCCAAAACATCACACAAGGGAGGATCAGAGAGGCAGGTTAGGCAGTGGTCCTGAGGATAAGGTGACGGTGTTTAGGCTACCCTACCAGCAATGGGATTTGAACCCACAACCCTCCAAGGCATGGACCTGGGTCACAAACCAAGATTTGTTTTTTATTCTAGAAATTAAATCAAGGGGAACAGCAATCTTTTCAGAAATATCAGTTGTGTCATTAATCCCTTTGAAGAAGATAATTATGTCTTATGTTAATTAGTGTTGTTTCTCTTAGCAGTTAATTTTTTGTAGGTGATATGTATCATTAAAACTTAATTTAAAAACTTGATTAAAATTTCACTTAATGCATTTTAATTAATCAATAAGGTAATTAGTTAATTAGATAGTAAACAGAAAACACATGCAGCTTCCCCTGCAGTGTGTGGCACTGCAGGTTATGACTCTGTGTCTGTAATCATAAGGTTACTAGATTAAATCCCTTGGCGGGCAGACTAATCATATGAATACTGGACCCTTCAGGAAGGCCCTAAACCCCCAATAGCTCCAGGGTCTGAATGACCCTGCTTCACAATTGTATATTGCTTTAGATAAAAGCATCTGTTAAATAAATGTAATACATAATTTGTAGATAATCTGCAGGACCCTTGCAAGGATTCTCAGGATGCAAGCATAGCCGGAAAGTTCTCCTGTCAGAGTTTTCAGTTTCCACTAAGACACAGGGGCGTGTCACTAAACGCTAAAAGATCAGTCACAGTAACTGTCTATTTTCCAATGGTTTAATGGCACAGCTAATTAATGCACATCAAACTACATTTTGTGTTCTCTGACATTCAGGTTAATAGTTAATATCTACCCTCCATATTACCTTTAAATAAATGGAAACTTTCAAAAAATGTAATGGAATTTCTTTTAGGCTGCTATCAGAAAGAAGTACTGTCTGTCATATCCAGAAAAACACCTTGAGGGTCTGTTTAATAAATAGTTCATTGTTTTATTCATGGCATTTCAAAATTAGTATAATGTGTTTATTATAACACAATGAGTCAGTAGGCTGTAGGGCATATGCAGGTAAATGAATAAAGCAAGAGAATTGTCATTTTATGCACCCTTTACACTGTATGTGTGTTTTATTTCATTGTGCCGAGAATAAAAGGCCATTCCAGAAGCATTTCATTAAACAGCTAATTACTATGCATTGATAGCAATATCCCAGATAAAAAAATGCACTGAATTTATTGTGCATATTGCGTCACTAATCATTTGTGTTTTTCATGGGCCCAAATAAACAATTACATTAATAGAAAATGTCTATGTTTTCCACAGCCGGACACACATTAACGTTTAGCAGTTGGACAATTAAACATGCAGTTAGAGATTTTCAAGCAGGTGCAATTCTGCTCCAGCCCCCCCCCCCCTCCTCGTCTGCCTCACCGTTGCCGCTTTATCTTGGTGTGGTGTCAGTTGTGGTAACTTTCTCGCATGCAGGTCTGAAATGCTGAACGCGGAGGGGAGGAGTCAGCCTAGTGAGCTGTGCAGGTTTATAGAGCGGTAGACGGAGGGGCTGGCCTTACGGGGTGTGTGTGTGTGGGGGGGGGCGTAAGCTGGAGATACGCCAGACAGAGAGAGGGAGAGAGAGAGAGAGGGAGAGAGAGGGAGGGAGAGAGGGAGGGAGAGTCTGCATGTGCAGAGAGCCGGACAGCTTGGGGGGGTGGGGAACTCAGACAGGCATCGGGGCTGCTGGCTACATTCTGTTCTCCCCACTCTTCTGAGTGCAGCTCAGAGTAAGCGGCGAACAGCCTGCAGCATCAGTATCATACTGCTTCACAGTACGGTGATGAAGAGGAGGCCAGTATCCCTCCTGCCGCAGCACAGGTAAGCAGCCGGACGCTCCTTGCATTGCCTTATTGTCTTGAAGTGAGATTAAGGTTTGTTCTCTGGCAAGTAAACTGAGGGAAGTGTTATCTGGATACATTTTTTAAAGCATTTTGTTCCCAGGCCTGCAAATGTCTTCTGAGTTTTGTAAAATTATGACATTTTCTCTTGAAAAAGTATGACAGCTTTCTGTGACAGCTTTAGTCAGATATTATGAGGCAAGTATCAATGCACTGCATATAATGTATAAATACTAAAGAAAGAATTTTATTTTGGGATGGATATAGGAGAATATTTCTGATGTTAAAAGTTTGACAAGAGGAGAAAAAGAGAGTGAAAAGATGAGCTTGGTTACGGATGGTTCTTCTAAAGCCTGAAAGTTGGTAATGCACCATGGTTCTGCAAAGAGGACACAAATACACCACAGATATGGACACCAGTTCAAATGGAGATGTGTTCAGAGGACTGGAGGCTGAGCCGGTGGATGAGGTGTTCAGCCAAGTTCCCCCCAGTAAGGACCCCAACTGGTGCAAGACCCCCACGGGGCACATAAAGAGGCCCATGAACGCCTTCATGGTCTGGTCACAGATCGAGCGGCGGAAAATCATGGAGCAGTGGCCGGATATGCACAATGCAGAGATCTCCAAGCGCCTGGGCCGGCGGTGGAAGTTACTGCCGGACTATGAGAAGATCCCCTTCATCAAGGAGGCCGAGAGGCTGAGGCTGAAACACATGGCAGACTATCCCGACTACAAGTACAGGCCGCGGAAGAAGAGCAAGTCCTCCATGCCAACCAAGGCTGGGGAAAAGACCCCTCAGAGAGTCGGCAAGTCCCCCCTGGCCCGAGGAGCCGTCGTCACGGGACGGGGGCTTAAAGGAAAAGCTTCGGCTTCCAAGCACCAGGTGCACCTTAATCAGAAGTCCAGAAGCTGCGATGATGATGCCAGCGAGAGCAACACGGGAGACTCCGAGTGGAGCGGCCCGATGGCCCCACGGACTGGGAACCGATTTCAAGGCCCTGTGTCGCCTGACAGCCCATCAGCTGATGACCAGCGCAAACTCAAAGTATCTGCTTCAGTCCTCTCTGGTCCAGCAGCCCTGCCAAGCACCGTGAACTCAGCGCCTCCGGCGTGTGGAGAGACCGAGCCCAGCACCTCCGCTGCTGGAAGGTCCCCCACGTCGACCTCCACCAGCTCCTCCTCCCTGATGTCATCCACTTCGTCCGACGAGGAGCTCGAAGAGGAGCTCCTGCACATCATCTCGAACGCCAGCTTTGATAGCATGCCTGTGGAATGCACCTCTCCAGACAAGGACATGGAAGCCTTTCAAACCAACTCAGGGTCCCATTTCGACTTCCCCGACTACTGCACCCCGGAAGTGAATGAGATGATATCCGGGGACTTGCTTGTACCCAGCATCTCTGACTTGGTGTTTACCTATTGAAACTACCCCCCTACCGTGATATCATCAGGTTAACCTGCCCACACAAATGCCTCCCCAGTGACGGCTGCAGTTCCAGTCGTCACGGAAACTGAACGAGGCCGCACCCCCCCCCCCCATCATTTCTTGTCCAGGCTGATTTCAGTGGATCCTGAAAGTGCCATTGCCTGAGTTATTTGTAACGTGACACATCGTTGTCGGCTGAGGGACAGACGGCACGGGATTTTTCACGCAGAAAATGTATGTGGAGCAGATGGCAGGTAGAACCGGCGGTTTTGGCACCGCGGCCACTTTTGTGAACAGCGCCTCCTAAAGGAACCTGAAATTTGACATATGCACTTAAAATGTTGCAACATTGTAGATGTAGTTGACAGTTTGTGCTAAGAATACTGATGCTACCAACGTAATACAGCAATTTTTTTCTGCTACAGACATATTGGCATACTGCTTACTGAGTTTCATACTCATGACAATTATACATATACCTAGCAATGATCAAGATTGTTAAGATCATAAGTTTTATTATAACTATTAACTATAGTGATGTCACCAGAAGAAATTGTTTCTCCTCAGACTTCTAAGTCCCTGTTTTTGTGCACAGACAGAAAGCAAAAATAAGGGGAGCATGCAGAATGAGATGAGCTGCTCTGAAGCAAGCTCACTACAGGAATGAAACACTCCTCACTCAGTGGATCCTAGTTATTTCCAGCTGATGAGACGCGGAAGCCGTTAGCGGACGACTGTGATGTGGACGTGTGGAGATTCGTGAGCGAGGCAATAACCATGAAGTGAAGGAAAGGGCCAAATGCAGTTTACTTCACTGACACCTATAATTGTGTAACAACACGTCATGAATAGCATGAACCGCAAAGAATCGGCAGAATGCAGATCTTCCTGTGCCTGTTGTAGCCAGATTAGGCTCCAGCGTATAGGCTGTCAGGGATTTTCTTTTCTTGGAGAGACGCATCTGTCTGTAGGGACAGTGTATTTTGTACGGGGGGGGGGGGGGGGGTAGAGGGGGCTGCTCGGGGCTCTGTGTTCATCGAGCGTCTGCCGGGGAGATCACGGCCTCAGCCTGGTAAAATGCATGTCATGTCTGCAGTCTCGCTCCAGCTGCCTGATCAGGCCAATCTGTGAATGGGGGGGGGGGGGGGGAATCTGTGTCTGCCAGCTGTCCTCACTGACTCTCTCAGGAATCATTTGTCTGGGTCCTAGTGCCTCCCGCCGATAAGCTGCCTGCGTCTTTTCCTTGGGATGGGGGCATCGCCATGGTTGGGGGATGGAGGGGGGAGCGCAGACAAAAGACCCGACTGCTTGCTTTTCTCCACGTCTGCCTCCTTTCTCCTCTCCCCCTTCTCATTGTCAAATATCTGCAATTTATCAAGAACTGAGAAAAAAGAAACTCCTTTATTTTGTCCCAAGCAGCTATCCGTAAAGAAGACAAAAACATCTTGCATCTTATATAAACTGCTAATCCCATTAAACTCAAATCACCCTGATAGGATGCCGGTCAGTTAAGGGTTTCCACACTTTGCTGGTAGGAGGATGTTACATGCGCGTGTTGAGATGACTCTGACTGCCTCGATTGCATAATCTATATTTGTTACCCTGACAGCTGGAAAAGGATTTGCTTACATTTTCTACACCTCCTAGAAGAACAGGAATGATGGAACTGAAACAAGCGTTTTATTTTTGGCTAAATAATAATGAAATATCATCAGCAGAACCTGGGCGGTTTTTGGCAATTCCCTGCACAATGAATTCTGGGCCATGTTACAATTTCTCACCAGCCAATTCAGGTACCCACAGACCTGTTGGGGAAAAAAAAAAAGAGTTTTCTTTGAAAAGCTAGCAGCAGGCAAAGGAACACATTTCACACCTTCATCAAACAAAAAAAAAAATGGAGGCCTTTTGCTGGTACTTGGGACAAGATAGTTTGATAATGTGCCCCAGACTTGCTAGGTCTACATTGTAAAAAGGAACAAAAAAAAAAGCAATAATCCTTCTTTCTGTTCATACAGTACCATGGAGTGCTGTCCATTAAAAAAAAAAGTGACAAATCTCTTTGCCACATACGAGTCCAGCACAGATGGATCTGAGATAATTGAGGATCCATTATTTATGCTTTGCGTTTGATTTTAGAGAAAATGCACAGAGATGTATTTAATTCCTAAAAGTGTCTATAAAACATTTTACAATTTTGAAGTACAAGCTCTCTATAGGTTTAGGTTTGCTCCTATGGCACATATCTTTGATAAATGTTACCGATAGTAAAAATGATAGAAGATTTGTCTGTGGTAATGTTTTTTGACAAGAAAAAAAAACTGCTAATCTACTGCATGTACAGCAAAGATTAATACTACGTTTCCAATACTTCAAGGAAGCGTTTGGACAAGTCACGGCACAGGGCAGGTGCGATCGGTCTGAATTCTCATTGGCATCAGCCGTCAATTAAGTGCTTGCTCACTGGATGACATCACACAGGAAAGACAGGAAACCAGTTTCCAACAAATAAATAAACACCAGCAGCCTACATTGCAAAACGGACTCAGGACAAAACATTCAACACACTGTGCAACTGCTTTGGTTAGTTAGTTTGGAGTGATGAACTGTGTATGAGTGTGTTAGGTGTGCCTACAAAGCATAGCAGGAAAGAACAATTGCTAGTTTTAAGATGAAATATTTAAAGCTGAAGCATGTTACAGTCATTCTGGTGCATTTTCAAGTTAATTAAAAATATATTTATTTATATTTGTCAAAAAGGTGTATAATTACACGTCAGCTGGGAGAGGGAGTTTCCCGGAATTTGAAAACATTTTATTTATTTTAGTATTCTATTCTCTCTTAAAATCGTCTGCATATCTTTTTTCTTTTACAACAAGCAAATGGGGTGGACTGATCGCAGATGGACTCCGGCGATTTAGTGTCAGTGTGATAAATGCAAAAAGCTGTGTGTAAATTAAATTGTGTTAAAAAAAAAAAAAACACACACACAACAACAGTCCATCTGGCCCCCAGCACCTGGGTGTTGATGAATACAGTGCCCAGAGATGGAAGGAGGAGGACAATACGGATTTCACGCCGTCGCGCGGAGCACGAGAGAGCCTCAGCCCCTCTCAGCTCGACTGTCTCAGCTCCGCACTTTTTTTCTCTTGGAGCAGGAGGGTAGGGGGTTAATGTGACATTGTGCGGTGGAGGGGCGTTATTTTGTGGTTGGAGATGAGTATGGTACTTAAGGATAGACTTTCTCTAAAACCTCAGGGTTTCATCAGTATAGCTCGGTTTACAGTGACCAGATAAAAAAGAATGATGAGACAATAAAAATTACAATAAAACATAGTAGCGAAGAGAGACAACCTTAGGTGCAAGTAGCCAAATTTTGACCAGGATGCCTCAGCTAAAGTCTCCTGTTACAGCAGATTAATGACCACAATGAACAATGAACATGTTTCTCTATACTGCAAGAATTTCCTGTTTTGTGTCATTTTGTGTCATTTTATTTATACGTACTTCTGTAAGCAAACGTTCCGGGTCTGAATCTTTGCACTTTGCCTCTGACAAAGATCATGTGTGGTGTGTTGAAATGTTCTGGGTTTGTCTTTCTTCAAAGGCATTCTTTGTCAGAGGTTTACCATTTAACACGAGAAAACATGATTGAAAACGTGATTTTTTTTTTTCAACTTCTGTACAGTGCATTGACTGGACATTGATAAATGCTATAATGGCAGTTGTCTGCACTCTCTGTTGTATGTCAGTGGCTTAGATCTAGCTGGACATCACAGGAACACACTAAATTCATTTAGTACTTCAAGATCCTCATAGAACAACAATCCAAAAATGATATATTTCTCCTACAAATTTCACTTTAGCAGTGAGTTTCAATCTACTAAATTAAACTCTATTTAAAAAATAATTTTATTTGATCAATGCATAGGTTACAAAATGTGAATTATAGTTAGTCATCTGTTTGTTATAGTTAGACCAATATTATGCACAATTAATGTGATCATGTTGCTTGTATTATGATTGTTATTCTTGTTTAAATTTATAACCACAGCAAAAGTTTGATTTTAAATCACTGCTTAAAACCAGGAGAGAGCAGTAAAAACAGAACATGGTGTTCTTATTCTGGGTCTAATTATCAGCACAGGGACATTTAATCAAGGAATAAACCGTAAAGTTAAAGTCTCACAGGGTTCCAGTACCAACACAAACATGACAGGAGCTACAAGGTCCCGTTCTGTTTAAAAGGAGCATATATTTTCAGGGGAAGCAGGTGTTCCTGTAGTCTAACCTAAAAAAAATGTATTGCGAATTGTCATTTAAAGCAACATGCACTGAGGTAGAGAATATCCACTCATGAATATACCCCTCTATGAATATAATTTAATCTTGAGCTCTGTGAGGGATGAGGATATATTAACTGGAAATGCTGACTGCTTTTGCTGAAAAAGATCGAGGCATGCCCGTCTCCTGCTGAACAATGGGTCCAAGCACACATTAAAAGACTCCAAGTAAAAATGTCCACAAAACCAGCATTTAGTGTTAAAAAAAATATATGCCCCCCCCCTTCCTGCAATGCCTCCTCTGTTTCCATATCCATTTTGGAAAGTACAGATCATAGCATATCATGAAAGTGCTAAGATGATGTGTCCTTTAATCTCATCACAGATTACAGAAGAGATTCATTCCTTCCAAGGATCAAGGGCAGATACTCCACAAAGTGTTAAAACCAGAGTGCCAATAATTCAGAAACTTAATTTCAGAGTTGTGTAAGTGCATTTCATTTCAGTGTCTCTATTAAAGCTAAATATTTTCCGAATCCTGGAAAATTACACTTTAGTTTCGTACTGGAATTGTTTTTATACAGACTGTTTTATACTCATTTTATCAAATTGCAAGACTTTTTGCAACTGACTGTATACATATATTTGACAGCATTTGCCATTTGTGTTTAGAGTAATTTTCTATGCCTCTTGCATCCAGATCATACTGAAAAACAGCTAAATAAACATCAAAAGAATGAATGTGGGGTGTGATAACTGGTAATTGATTACACTGGCAATTGGCAGTAAGTTACAGTGTCACATCTATCTCAATGAACATGCAGAAACCCAATTCCAGTTTAATTACTAATTGTAATTGCTGGTAGTAAAACAGCTAGACCATGGGCCTTTCCCTATTCCCCGAGTGCCCCTGCTGTGCTCATGAAAGCCCAGCTATGGTCAAGCACAGGCAGAATAAAGCATCGAGGTCACACAGCCATTTGATAGCAGGTAAGAGAGGGCAAGGAGATTATCTGCCACTTTTAAATGGGGATACATACAGTGTTTGACAAATACAGAAAGAAGGGGGAGTTTTGTTGTGATTGGTAAATTTCATAATCATTTATGCATCTGCAATTTTCATGTCATTTGTGACCTAAACATATTGTCCTACATTTGTTATCAAAACTAATCACTGGTTACAGTAGCTCTGAGCAAACTAGCTATTGTCTAAGATGAGCAATAATACAACAACTGCAACTCGTGCTGCATATAGCTATTAATAGCCACAAGTCTGATTTACTTAACAATGCATTATGTCATGTTTTTAGGTGTAAGATTCCAATATCATTTCAGGGAAGACCTCTCCGCTCACTGCATTCCTCCATTCTCCATCACACAGGCCTCCAGCACCATGCTAGGAAGCATCTCACGTCTGCTATAACGTAACATGTGTGGATGACTTAGCAGGGTACTGAAATTTACGTATTACAGAGAGAGCTCAGTAAGCACAAACCCGCTTAACAACACAAATAAAACGAACGGCTCGTATATCAGGCCGCTTTCCGGTGACCTCCGCAGTATCTGCTGCTGTGGAATTGCTTTTTCTCCACTTTGATCCATGTAGGAGATTGAGGGGCACCGTTTGCTGCCGGCCCCAATCTATCTCCACACTTTGGCCGGATTAAGGGTCGGTA